AAACAAAGCGCGAGAAAAAGCAGGCAACCTGCTTAGACTACACTGTTTATTTCTCGCGCTTGTTTTCAGAATCTGAATCTGACTCTGAATCTGAGTGCACTCTGGCCGCACCCTAAGCAGGTTGCCTGCTTTTTCTCGCGCTTTGTTTTCTGAGTCTGAATCTGAATCTGAATCAGGAGTGCAATCTGGCCGTACCCTTCGACTACACTGTTTATTTCTCGCGCTTGTTTTCGAAATCTGAATCTGAATCTGAATCTGAGTGCACTCTGGCCGCACCCTACGGCCAGAGTGCACTCAGATTCAGACTCAGAAAACAAGCGCGAGAAATATACAGTGTAGTTTAAGCAGGTTGCCTGCGGCCACTATGGCCACCCTGCTTTAACTACACTGTTTATTTCTCGCGCTTGTTTTCTGAGTCTGAATCTGAATCTGAGTGCACTCTGGCCGTACCCATATGTCAAAAAAAACAGCCTTTTAAAAACAGAAACTAGTTTTGTCTCTTTGTTTCAGCATACTAACCAAGATACTAACCAATAGATGCAACAAGAATAAACACATCCAGTTTCAATGTCATCGTTGGATAAATATATTTAAAAATGAACCTAAAACTAAAAACCTTAAAACATAAAATATAATAACTAATATAAAAGGAGTCCCTTTAGGCAAGGTTCCGAAGATACTGGTAGCGTTCTCCCTTTGGATAGCTAGACTAATTCTTTGTCCGAGGTAGCTGCCAGCTCTTCGGTCTCATGTGATGTCGACTAATCTTTTTGCTATTTCTTTAAAAAGCCTTATAGCGCTAGGACCCCACGGACCAAGGGTCTCGATACCGAATGGGACAAAATCATATTCGGAGCCTAGACCCCTGTATTTGCCTGCCTTAGCTTTTTCAGCCGCTTCACAAGCCGCACCAGCTCTGTTGTTGGTTCCATGTAGATGGGAAGGGGCCAGCGTGTCTGAACAGGTTGCATCCCATACTAGCACCCGACCCATCTTCCATGGAATCAAACTCATACCGTCCGATCTCTTGCCATCGTCTCTTGCAATACCAGTTGGCTCAAGTAGATTTGGCACGTTGACGGTGGCAAGGGACCGGCGTATGATATCGTTAAGTGCGGCGTGTCTCGAGAAGCGGCCTGCACTTTTTTGGCAAGACAGTCCGTGATGTCCTAGCTTGTCGACATCACTGCCACAGGGACATTTATGAGGAGCGCAGACCGGCACCCCAAGCCGTAGACAGGTTGCCATTCGGAGTGTGTCAGGCTCAAGAAATGTGCCTGTATTTGTCGAAGGGTACGCGTGAAGCCAGTAGCAGGCCGCATGCGTACCCACGGCCAAAAGCCTAGGACGCGCCGAACCTGTACTGCAGCTCAAAAGGTTATTATAAGTTAATTTACAATTTATGTCATCCCAGCTCCTCTGTGAATTTGGAGAAACTGGAAAATATTGACCTGGGCATGCAATTAAGAAAGCGTTTTTAGCTTCTTCCAAGCCAGCAATCTCAAAGTTTGAAGGGGATACCCTTAAAATTTTACTTATGAGATTTGCTGAACTATGGACAGAAGATAGGAAGGCTGGTAAAGCGACACTGGAAATTTTGCGAATCCCTAAACCACCATAACGGATGGGCAGGGATGCTTGGGTCCAAGATTGCTCGTTCAGCTGCATAATAAGAATCGATTCTAAGTTAATTATGATTGAGTCGTCTAATTGTGACAAAAGATCTAAGTGATTCCAAAAGGAGCAGCAACGGAGCACATACGTAAATTTTGGGACAAAAAGACAGAATTTTAAGATGCAAAGTGCATAATGTGGACTAATTTCAAGGAGACGGTCGGCAGAATTTTGAAATTTATTAATTGAATTATTAATATATTCAGAAATAGATTCATCAAAAATTGAAGAACCTAAAAGGTAAAGGGAACTGTTAACTATTTTAATATTTGGAGCTAAAATATTAAATTTTTGTTTAACGTCATTTAAGTTGTTGTTATTTATAAAAAGTTCACATTTGCTAAAATTAAGGTCCAAACCGGTGGCTTCAAATTTATTTTTGATTAAAAAAAGGTCCGAAAACACAGTATCCACATCACCTCCTAGGGTTCCGTCGTCTAAATACCAAACATTGAATTTAGAATTTAATTTTTGATTATCGGATTTATAGCCAAACTAAAAATTGCAGGCCCAAGGGGATCACCCTGTTGACAACCTACTTCCGAGGACAGTTCATAAGAACGATATAACAATTTTGTTGGGTCGGCGTAACTGAGAAGAAGATAATTGTATATTTCCGGTATGTGTTGTTTTATTTCTGTTAGCAGGGTATCCCTATTTACCGAATTGAATGCATTTTTGACATCGATTTTGAGCAACACGTCAGGATGCCCGTAAGTTAGGAAGGAGCGTAGGGCATGGACGGCTACCTCACACCCTCCTTTGACACCGAAGCCTAGCTGTACGGGTTCAAATTCCGAATTTAGTTTTGGTAAAATATGTCGAACAGCAATTTTGGAGGCCAGACGTCGTAGTGTTGATCCAACAGCAATGAGGGCTATCGCGTATGAATCCGCCGCTAGAGGCGCTAGTGTAGCGTGAGGTCTCCGAAATGTCAAATGTTATTGCTTGTTGGTTGACTACGCGGGTGTTATTTCTTATTAAAATAATGTTGTGAATAATTGGTAACAATTCGGCTTAATTATGGCAAATATGAGTTATGTGGCAATGAATGTCAGTTATTAAAATTTTGAGCTTAGAAAAATGATTATGTTTCCATTTTTTCCGAATAAAACGGAACTGGGCGTCACTGTGGCATGGCCTATTATGTTTAGGATATGGTTCTTTTGTGTTAAAATACGATCTAAATGTAACCTTTGATTTCATGTACGTATTAATAAACTTTAAAAGTTACAATTTAGGACCTCACTCAACAGTGGCGCCATCTGGTGAAACAGAAAACGGTAGCCCTCATTGGTCTCACCCCTCCGTCCTTTTTGATGAGGGCAATGAGGTTCGCGCCGAAAAGAATAGGAACAATTTCTGGATTGACACTACCGGAATACATAGATGTCGATTCTGGCATGATTCTCTAAAGCTAAACTTAAATTTGACAACAGTGTATCTTTGTCAATCTCTATACAGAATGAAAAAGACAGACTGATGTTAAATTTAGTTTTAAGTTTAGAGAATCCTGCCAGAATTGACACCATAAAGTTGATTAATTTAGTGATCGAATTTACAACTTGCCCGCCTGCATTACCCACAGAATGCGATGTTAAATCTTTCAAATGTTGGGGTGAGATTCCATCCAAACCAATGCAGCTGAACCTGGTTTAAAAGATAAAATGGCATCCATAACATCTTTGTTTTGAATTTGAAGGCATGCTTGCTCTGCTGTTGGTGGGTCGAGAAAATATGGGTTTGCTGGAGCTGGGGGATGTTTTGTCCGTAAGGCCTGAAGGGTGTCAGGTGATAGCACGTCGTTGGAGAACAAAAGGCGAACGGCACCTTTGAGATCTCCGTCACAGATTTTGTTTTCAACGATTATGAGGGGCATCATGCTGGATTAGAGGTGCGGGAGAAGGCGAGGAGCTTACAGCACAGTTATTCTTAATCTTTTGTGTCAAGGATAAATTCGGTTCATCAGTTTTTAAGATATGAAGTGTGCTGTATGAAAATAAAAATAGGTTCTGCCAGTCTTGAGTAAAATTGCTTATATAACATTTCTGGATTAATTGTGACAATTGTGTAGCAACGGTTATTCGAGCTCCTCGCGGGATTCTTTTAACTATTGGTATACTATTTTTCAAATGGCTGAGATATGTGTGGAAAGGAGTTGGATCGTTGGCATCATAAGTAGGCGCAATCGGAATAATGGGATGGATGTCTAAAGATGAATTGTTTTGACTAATACATTGCCTGTGTATTTTTGAAGTGTGTATGTTGAGGCCTTTCAAAGATTTAAAAGACTTGTGGCACTGTGTACATGTGTGGGTCGCGTTCGACGTGCCATCACAAGATTGGGTCACGGACTACATTCACAATAGCTAAATACATTCAAATTTAAATAATAACTTAAAAAAAAGACTAAGTTTAAATAAACCAAGAAATGAATGGAGTCGATTACGCTCGTATTCGGGTAGGTAGTTTTCGGTTTGGTTACCCGACACCGTCTTCCAGCTCATATTCCAGTGTAAATATTGCTTCGGGTGCCCAAATTCGAGTAATGTCTTTCGTGCTCCCGAATACAGGCCAACGACTAAATGTAATTGAGCCATTAAGTTGATTTTTATTTTTTCCATTAAAATATTGCTGAAGCTATCTTTGACTCTTTCATACAAAAAGTACCGTATAAATCAGAAGTCTACCGGTAGATTGCGGTAGGGTAGGCAACGTAGCATTTACAACTAGTTATACCTAGTCACGATCATGGCGCAACTTGACCGTCAAATTTATTTCCGGCTTATCTATAACCATGGGCTACGTTCCAAATCTACGTACGCTATGAGTGCAACTTTTATTCTAACGTTTTAGTTTTGACATAAAATGTATAGAACTTATGTCTAAATTGATGTTAGTGCACAGCGTTGTATCTAGAGCTCAGATTTGGAACGTAGCCCATGGTTATAGTTAAGCTGAAAATAAATTTGTCTGTCGTCTAAAGCCGAAAATAGATAGGCCTTATTTGCCTTAGTATATAGTAGGTAACCGTAATTACACTGTTACATAGTCATGCCGGTTAAGACATGATTTAGAGAATTTAATAAAACTAAATATAACACCAGTCTCTTCTTTTAATTCTGTATAGACAATGACATGGATACACTGATGTCGATTCTGGCATGATTCTCTAAACTTAATTTATCACCAGTCTCTCCTTTTCATTCTGTACAGACAACGACAGAGATACAATTCTGTCAAATTTAAGTTTAAGATTAGAGAATCATGCCAGAATCGACCATTGTCTAAATCGACCATTGTCTAAATCTAATGTTATCTGTGCTGTACTGCTGTGCCTGAGCATTGAGCAAGTAATCTGCTGTGCTTATATTTTTTTGTAAAATGGTCTTGATCCGAAATCGAAATGAGATTCAGGGATAAAAATATTACCCGGATAATTTATATGTTTAGTTCTAGCTTTATTTGAGTTATTGTGGATTCGTCTAAATTCTGCCTTCCTGCCCCAGATAATTCTTTGTTGATTTGGATCATTGCTAAATAAAACGGAAGATCAGGTTAGTTAATGTTTTCCATTTCCAGTACCTTCCTATCTTCTGAATTGAGTTTTTAGTCACGACTTTTTGTTATTGGTTAACAAGCATTTTAGAAGTTATTTTGTAGATAAATGAACCAAACTATTTACATCATAAAAAGTTTGTAATAATGAGTGAACTACCTACTGTTACATGTTACCTTTTTAGCTTTGGTAAATAAAATCGGGTTATAGTGTGTAAAACCTATATCTTGTTTTCTTCAAAGAAAATTAAAATCACTTATCGCAAAAACAAAATATGTTTAATATAAATTTATTTATTGATTTGTGTTCTATCATTTCAGTCTATAGCAATTTCAATTTTATTGATTAAGCTGTGTATAATAAATATAATCTACACGAGTTTACATTTATTAGAATAATGTATTTTATTTTAATTAAAGTATAATTTAAAAGAAAATGTAACAAATTTTTCTGTAAATTAACCCCTGAATAACCTCACAAGAGATTATTTGTAGTAACACTGAAATATTTCTTTCTATTGCATGATTTGTTATCTATAGAGTGGTAATTTCAAAGAGTACCTATTATAACTTGAATGGTTGCAGAATAGTATTAGGATAGGTATATTTATTCAGTACAAGACAATGATGTAATAGCAAGTGCTTTATCTTGGATAGTAAATCAAAGTGTTGATTATAATAATTAAGTAACTAACAAACATGCATTTTAAGCAACTGTAGTTTTAGTATCAATTTGTTTGTGTAAAGAGTAGTGTATGGGGTGAGTAATCTAAAAAATTATGTTTAAATTTTCAAAGATCTCAGAATATAATTAATGATACTTTCATGTTATTGCCATTTCAATGTATTTGATTACCATGAAATATTTAAGTGGCCTTTGTATCTTATTAAAATCTTGTCAAATTATTTACTATAAATAATATCAGGAGGATTAGTAAAATATATTAGTAACCACAACTAAGCTATTAATGTTTCATCATCAGCAATGGAACATTTATTCATTTACAGAGTTTGCAATAAAGTGTTAAAAATTCTACATCATTTGCAAGATGGTGTTAAAGTTAGTTTTGCTGTTAGCACAATAATTCATAATCTAGTGGTAACTTCGATTTACTTAGTATCATGGCATACCTACTATGAACAAGTTGAGAAAGATTTTGAATTTCAATAATTATTGTATGTTTATATTTTGTTAGATATTGTTGTTTAATAGATATAGTTATATTAAAATTATTGTCTTTCAGGGTTCCCATCAAGAAGAACAGATTATGACTTAGGATATGTAATAAAAATGGAAGCCGTTAGTAAAGACAGATATGAATATCAGCCAAGAGAAAACATAGCTGGCAGTAGTGCCGATAGTGATGCTTCTAGTAGTATTTTTGAAAGCAATGACAGCAGTGAAGATTTATATAAAACGTCTGACGATGAAGATCTCAAAGAAGACTTACAAAAAACAATGCCAGAGTGCTACAGATCTGATCCTAACTTTTCATCACAAACCACCAGTGACATCAACGATGAAGAGTTTCAGGCCACAGCTCTTTGTCAGTTTATGGATATTTTAAATGATCTAGATGCAGTTTTAGATAAGTCTTTATTGGCATGTCTTGATGATGGTACAAAAAAATTTGATAGCGATGAAGAAGATCTAATATGTAAGATCAAAGAATGTTTTGATACCCCTGCAGAGCAGTATGATAATTCTGAAGCACAGAGTTCATTAGATGACAATACGGAAGTTGTAATAGCTCGCAATATTCAAATTTCATCTGCACCACTATTAGAAGATTTAGAAATTCATCAAGGTGATGAGAGAAAAAATCTGTCAAATCTTATACGTTCAAAAAGTTTTTCTGACTTATCAGAGAGTAATAGACAAGCACTAGTGACATCTTTGGAAAGAGCAAACACAATCCACGATAACTTGCGTAATTCTATGAGACATTTGAATCCAATAGTATTGCCCGCACCATCAACTCAGGAAACATGTGAACCTTTGACTCTGCCAGTAATTTTATTTTTGGAACACCATGTTAATATGAGGCCAACTAGTGCACCCATACAACTACAGGTTACAGCTGCTAATTTGAGTACTGATGGCAGTTCCGGGCCCTTAATAGTGGGTCGCCGTGCATTGCTTATGAATAGAACATTATCTTTGCCATCTCCAAATGATAGTGATGTGACAACAGGTGATTGGACTGGTAGGAACACAGCCAGGAGTACCTCATCTACATCTAGTTCATCAGTTGATTCAATACCTGTAGCTCAATCAAATCATATTGCTTCTGGAGTTACTGAAGAGAGGTAATAGAAATTTTGTTAAAATTCAAGGTTTTATGTTAATTTGCTATTATGCTGCCATCTTTAACAACTAATAATATAGTTTTTTATAGTTATTATTTTCTTTAGATTTAAACTAATAATATAGTTAAGAGATGAAAAAGTCTTTGCCACTAAGGAATCCTTACCAATTATTATATTTTTGTTTTAAGCATTTAACTACTAGAATTATAAGTTTAAAGTAAATTTTATGAAGCACCTTTCACTATCCACCCAGATAGCAGAAGGTACAGCTTCGAATTATGGTTGAAGCCTAGACTGTATTTTCTAGTAAAATTTTGTTGGGTTTATTAAACACTAGAGGTCGCCCGCGACTTCGTCTCCGTTAACTTAGTTTCTTGAAAATACCTCTGGAACCTAACATTTTTTTGGGATAAAAGTAGCCTATGTGTTAATCTAGGGTGTCAGCTAACTCCATACCAAATTTTATTAAAATCGCTCCAGCCGTTTAGACGTGAAGAAGTAACAAACATACACACTCACATACTCACAAACTTTCGCCTTTATAATATTAGTGTGATTACTTTACTTAAATAACATAATCTTTAAGTTTTATTTATTTGCACCATTTTTACTAGTCTACCAAAGAAACTTTTGGAAAACAAAACATTAGAATTATGTATCTTGAAATATTACTTGCAGAAATAATGAGACTGATGGGCCACCTTTTGGTATGTGGCCTCACAGAATGAGTGCAATGTTGGCATGCCTCAGCTGCACTGTGGGGATATTTAACATTTCAAGGTTTGCAATACTAAGTGTACATTTTGGAGGTAAATAAGCTGCGCCTATATTATGGATTGAATTCATTGCTTTATTCAAACTTTATATTATTGATGATATATGTTTTGTTACAGCAAGTTTTATTATACAGTTTTTTGTGCTGTCCTTTATCATTGGAATCCCATTATTTACTCTGTATATGTGTTTGGGGCAAGTATTGGAAGCAGGTCCAGTGGATATGTGGAGAATATCACCAATATTCCAGGGCGTTGGGGTGTCGTTGCTTGTCACACAGGCCGTCATTGGTGTATACAGTATAATAGGTTTATCGTGGATTTTAGTATACTTTAGAGACTCTTTTATAACGTCTGTTGATAAGTACAAATGGGCCGTGCCACAGGAATTCAACTTTGAGGGTGAGTTAGTATGCTGTTAATATAAACTCGAATTGTATCAACATCAGCAGTTAATTCCCAGGAAATATTGTTGAAGGTCATTGTCGCTTTCGTCAATTTAGACAATAGGAGTTTTTTTACTCCAACTAATAAAAAGATATCGATGAATTGAGACAAATGTTTTTATTACAATGGAATTTTATTAGTTTCAGATGCAAGTGTAAAGAATGAAACATATAAAATACAGGAGTCACTACCTCAATATTTTCAAAATGAGGTACTGCAAATAAATACAGGGTCTGATGGTTCTTCCTTTGGCTCAATAAAATTTCAAGTGGCGTTTAATCTCGCCGTCGTTTGGATGATTGTATTTGTTTCGCTTAGTAAAGGTTTGCGGTCATATGGCAAGGTAACTTACCATTCTCATTTCATTATGTACCTAAATTAAGTTAATTAAACAATCTAATTTGGCACCACCTTAACAACTCATTTGAAAATGTACAGAATTCAATTAGACTTGTCTTTTTCAAATTTCAATTCTCAATTCTCAATTACCTGCCAGTGGTGCACTATAGACATTGAACAATAGTTTTGGCAGTTTCAGACACACATAGACGTCAATTTATTGGTTTAAATAAGGTACATTTTGTCATGTACCTAATTCTATTGCTTTTTTACTTTAGAAAATAAATAAATCTTATTATAATTTGACCAATAACATATTAAGTACGTACGTAATTACGTATTTAATATATATACAGTATATTGGCCAATATTATTGCATTTTAAAATGGCACAAGTAGTCCCCGCCCCAACTTCCCTTTATCTCTCAAGCAAAAAGCTTATTACATCTCTCTCATAAGCTTTCACGTGCCAACCCATCGGTGGCAGCAACTGTCAAAATAAGTAATTTCACTAAATATTTTTACATTAATTTCTTTAAAAAAACTACTTACGAATGAAATGACGCGTTTTTCTTGTCTCTTGATAGTTCCCGTGTAATTTGTGTACTATCTTAAAACACATGTTGGGGTTTTTGTCTGGAAAAACGTAAAATATTTACACGTTGTAGAGTGTAACCGTGACAGACAGCGTTCTCGACTGAATGCAAATCGGGCTCGCTTCGGACCTGACTTTCATATTGCCAAATTAGAAGCGTGTATGACGTATCTATAACTTTAGAACATCATAGAGTTTTATTAAGTCTTTAGCTCTTTATCTTTCGGTAAATAAGCAACAAAATAGTAGGCTGCAGTTCAAATTATTGAAATGAACACAAAGCCATATGGCATACCTTAGTTTTCCATAAATAATATGATATACATTTTACTCTGCAAATGTACTAAATGTACTCAATAAAATTAAACTCAAATATTTAATCTTTATTGTTTCAGGCCATTTACATGCTAATATTTCTGCCTATATGCGGAACACTCGTTCTGTGTACCAAACTACTAACTCTGATACCTTCTGATACAGTCACCAACATATTTTCTGAAACAGAGTGGAGTGAGTTCTTCATCAATAGTAATGTACGTATAACGATATAAAATTTAAATATACTAGAAATATATATAAAAAAACTAAATAGGAGTTAAATTGTACAATTCACAGTAAGGCAGTTTAAAATAAACAATGCTATAAATGTAATTTACTAATTACTTTGCAATATAGCTGATTCCGGATTATGATTTATATTCATATATTCTACAGACCAATAACAAAATGTTAATTGAATTTAAAGTAGGTTAGGAATGCTATATAGTCTTAGGTCCGTATTACAGAATGACAACTATGTGTTGATCTTTACTTGAGTACAGTTAGAAAGGGATGCCGCTATGTGCTATATACATATAGCGTTAGGGCCTTAGTCTAAGGCCCGTATTATAGAAAGATTCTCAGTGATTGATCTAGTCTTGAGCATAGTTAGAAAGGGAAGTCGCTATATATAGCACATAGCGACATCCCTTTCTAACTGTACTCAAGTAATGATCAACACTTAGTTGTCATTCTGTAATACGGGCCTAAGACTAGTTACGCAGTGTTTTGTTCATGTCACTCAAATGCCATTTGTCATTTAATACACAGAGACAAAACATGGAGTTACTAATCCAAGCGTAGTCTTTGTTTATTAATGAGGGGGGTACTGTTTTTTTTCTATTTTTTAATTCACGAAAGTTTTCGATTTTATCTATGTAGTACATTATTAATAAGTACTTTATCTTGTAGAGTTGGGCAGCGGCCGGGCAAGAGATATTCCTTACATGGGGGCTATTAGGGGCATGTATAATGCAGCTAACATCGCACAAAAATGCTAAAGGCAAAAGTCGTACAATGTTACAAAAAGAGAGTGCATGCATAGTGGTTTTCACGTTTGCCATTTTACTCCTTGGAGGGTTCCTCGCAAACACATGTGTACAAATATTGAAGAATTGCGGCTATGTTTACACACCAGGTAGCTATGGTAAGTTAAATGTTTGGATAGTGCATTGTTGAAATGCATTCCTTATATAATTATTAGCTTAGTTAAGATTAGGATTTTTTGGTTCTGTAACATTAATCAATTATTTTTGATAAAATTTATTTTATACCCTGGCAAATAACAACCATAAAGATCAAAATGTGACGACTGATCAAAATGATCGAAGATACATAAATTGAATTTTATATGCGTTGTTAATTTAGCCCGCTGTTTTTTCTATTGTTTCATTTAACTAAAGGTTCTCTCCCTGCGTGGTTAAACTCCCAACCACGCAGGTTGGAATTGCTACCTTAGCAATAAGGCCGCCTTTTGTGTGTTGCGTTCCTGTGTTTTATGTTATTTGTATTTTGTGTAATAAAGAGTGTTCATTCATTCATTAATCTTATTGTTGTAACCGGCCAGAGTGGTCAATATTATCGAAACAACATAATTCATAATTATGTTATGTGTTAAGATAAATCAATTATATATTCACAAATAACTGTTCAATGGTATAGATCTAAGCACTCAAAGTTATCAAATATATCTTGGTCGTAAAGAAAAGCAAACGCTAATCTGAGGTATTACGGTTTTTATGTTTTCATTTCGTGCATGACGTCATTAAAGTGTCTTTTGTTTGCGCCTTAAGGCGCGATCCAATAGCCAACTATAATTTAATTCTTTTTTTTTTAATTATGTATGCAAGGTGCAATTTACATGCAACTTAATCAAACCTGCATATAAGCTACAAGTTGCGTGTCACATTTTTATTCAAGTGATGCGCAAATTCAAAGCGCATGCATAATTTGCACGTTTCACTTTAGTAAGTTAGTTACAGGTTTTAACGTCAACCTACTCAATTGGGAACGTCTCTACTTGTTTGCAAAGTAAAACCGGCATGCAATTTACACTCGAAAATATATTTTCAACGCGGGTACTGCAAGCTGACCACGCACCGCGGCTCGGGAGCTTGTCCCGGTCGAGACGATTACACGATTACAGAAATTAACGATTTCGATTAGTGTGCGTTTCAGTATGAAGTTTTATACAAATAATAATGATCGGCTCGAGTTGATACGGTGACGATCCCTTTCCAAGTTGATATGTGTGCTATAACCTTTAATTATATTTAAATTTAATAATTCATGTAAGCGATGTTATTTATGAGTAATCTAGACGCTTACATACCAATGAACAGTTACGACGCGTACATATTAAAGATCATTGTAATGGTGTATATGTATTGGAGATTTTTGATCTGACGAAATATAAGACTGGTTGGTTATGTATAGTACATAACCAACCAGTCTTATATTTCGTCAGATTTAGGTGACTTCAAATGCAAAGATATAATTGAACCTCATATTTTTATGAAGCCGACTGTACGCCGGGTTTCAAGGTGGCGCCTAGTCGAGTGGTCCCAGGTTCGAATCCGTGATGATGTTGTGATGAATACGAACATTTGTAGGTACTCAAGCCATGGATGTTAAAATATGTATTTCTATATAAATATTCATAAATATACATATATCAGAATATGTATTCTATCCATTACCCTAGTATCCCATAACACAAGCCTACTACAATGCTTACTTTGGGGCTAGACTACTTGGTGTGAGTGTTAAAAAAACTAACTAAGCAAAAGCAAAATAAACTTAAATCTCTTATGCCAATCAAGATTTGCTTTCAATTTATAGTCATTTTCTGAAATAGAAATAAATTTACAGAAACGATTAAATCATCACAGTTTCTTTGGCCCACAAAAGATCCGATGCCAGGAAACTTGGTATCGACCCCCGTGCGATACATGACCCACTATAGTAGCTTGGTTGGCGTGACCGTAACGAAGAATGGCAACAGCGTTCGAACGCTCAGCGGCTGGCAACCCCTGCAGTTGGCAACGCAGCTCGTACCGGCAACCCTGGCGGTGTTGCCACCTAATATGGTAAGTCTAAAAATTAGTTAAGTAATTTATCAACATTTAGATGTTTAAATCTAAAGAAAAGTTTACTAGAAAAAAAAAAAAATCCACTCGAACCCGCATCCTTCGCTATCCGGGCGAATGCACTGACCATTATGCTACCACGGCCCTATTAGCCGCGTTGAAATATTCCTAGCCTTAAGCTGCAAGGCAGCGCCATCTCTTCGCATTGTAGGTAACCCACAATGTCAAATGAATACTTTTTCAAGTATTAAACATTTGAAAGAAGAAATAGCAATTGTAGCTGGTCCGCGTGGATTTTTTTTCTAGTAAACTTTTCTTTAGATTTAAACATCTAGCAGTTAAATGCTTAAAAAATAAATAAAATCATAACATTTAGATGTTCCTGAAAATTAAAGATTAAATAAACCCTAGTTAGTTACAAAATCGGCAATGATTTTTTATTATTTATTACTTTAATTAACAATTTATTATTTAATAATGGTATTTAAAAAGTGATTTATTTTTTAATTAGTACAATTCAATGAAACTATTACATAGATTATTTTTTGCTAATACAATTCGCAGGGGCGATTTCACAAACCTGGGCCACTGACGATTTAACCCAAAAGACCCCTCCCCCTTAGAATTAGTCATAAATCAAATCAAAATATAGTTCAATAACCACTTGGCTCTAGGGTACACATACACCCCTGACATATCGTTATTAATTGTAAATGATTTGCAAACCGCAACGAAAGTTGTGGGATCGTAAATTGGTGAAGCAGTAATAAAGTTAACGTGCGTAATTGCCTGCAATAACAATAGCATTTTTAAATGTATACTAACTATGGCACTACAAATATTAACGTTCAAGTATGTAATCAAGGTTAATTGAAAGAATTCCATATGCAAACAAACATCAGTAAGGAGGCGCGATAATGATAACATGATAGTGATATATAAAATGACTCGTATGTGGAAACCTGCCTAAGAGACGGACACTTATAGTTAGAAGCGTGTAATCAATGTGGTTTATTATGAAATTATTCAGCAACCTACTAAAAAGGCACATATTTAAATGATCATTAAAAAAAACAGCAATTGATCCATAATTTGTATTAAAAAATACAATTGGTAACCTTACCTAACCTTTACGTTACCAATTGTATTTTTTAGTACCAATTTGTATTAAAAAGTACAATTGGTAACCTAATCTAACCTTTAGGTTACCAATTGTATTTTTAGTAACCAATTTGTATCAAAAAATAACAATTGGTAACCCAATCTAACCTTTAGGTTACCAATTGTATTTTTAGGTGATCATATATTAATTTTTTGAGGATCATTTAAATATTTATTTTAAATAAAAGAAATCGAGATCTTATATTATGAAAATGAATTACGTTGATTCCACATAACCGATCTATATCTGATTTGAATGTGCATCAATCTTTATCTTAATGTTGGCACTTCAAAAGGTTTTTAGTATTTGCTTTATCTATATATAACAGCACTCTCCTTTTCATTTCCTATAGAGCGTGGTAAAAAAGGTAGAATTATAAATAAGGGGGATATACAACGTCAACGTGTCTTCCATATAGCTTCTCCATGATTGACATAAAGGCACATACAATAACCTATGCCTCATTAAATAACATTACTATAACGGCTAATAGTGAAATATTTTTAATAAATAAAGAAAATATGTCGTAAAAAATAAATAAGGAATTCATCATCTCCATCATCACAGCCTATTTAATTATAATAATAATTCTATGGTCTTCCCTATGGTTGGCATAGGGAGATTAGACCTTCCGTGACCCACCACGCGGCGCGGGTCCAATACATATTGGCTGGTGCTTACGACTATAGATGCAGTAGGGGCTAACTGCCTAACGTGCCTCTGAAGCACGGAGAAGCTTGAGATATTAAATTTTCATTTTAATTGGTCACCCATCCAATGACTGGACCATTGCGAAAGTTGCTTAACATCCACGATCGCAGGTCAAACGCGCTAACCACTTGCGCCATCGAGCTTTTCGGAAATATCAAATAAGGGATTATCATCTGATATTTTTATTCAAAAAACTGCCGTTGCTAAGTTATTCAAACTAATTTCTTCGTTGCTAGACTTGATAGATAATTGAGACTGTAATAGAGCTTAGATTAAACAAACTCCAATACTAATCGTATTGAAGTTTAGAACAGAGTTCAGTGGCCCAAGCACAAATTTAGAAAGATCGTATCTTCATCATCATCATTCTTACGTCAAAATTCGTGTTTGGGCCTCAGAATGCATTTTTCTTTCTAGTTGTCACCGGCGTGGGCAGTGATATTCTACTTCATCTTGATAATGTTCGGGCTGGCGCAGCAGCTAGCGGTGTGGCATTGTGTCATTACGGGGGTCATGGCGATAAATGCGGAGGCCCTGAGAGTGTGGGAAACCACTATCACATTCTTCAGCTGCGTCATAGGACTGGCTTTAGGATTGGTGCTCAGTACTGATGTGAGTGGATTTCTTGAATGAAAATAGTAATTGTCCCAAAAAAATATGATGCCGGCACTTCACTCGGCTATTCGAATTTGCTATTTGTAAACCTAGTCTTTCCTAGGGTTACCAACTTCCTTTCTATCAAGTTACCTGTAAAAATATAGTAGATGACAAAAAATGGAAAAAATATAGTATGAATTTAAAATGTTTACTTTATTTTGAAATGAACAATTTGAAAAAAACAACTCTATACCTTACTAATTAAATTTATATTTTTAAGAAAGCTTTTTATTGGCAAAAGTCTGCTTGAAGCAAAATAATAGTAGTTTCGCCTATTACATATTATTTTTGAAATATAGTATTTGCTCCCCTAATATAGTAGGATACTATATTATATAGTGGGATTGGCAACCTTAGTCTGTCCTTATCATGCTTTATAAGGAATGAAAAGGACAGACTGATGTCAAGTTTACATACAGCAAACACGAATAGCCAAGTGAAGTGCCAGAATGACAGTTATTTAGTAAGCTTGTTAATATTTATATCATTGTTTTTGCGTATATTTTATCATTCCCTATGTATTGTTTTAGTTATTTTTATTTTTATGATTATTTTTCATAATATTAACCCCTCGACATTATTTGAAACAAGTCGCATGTCTGAGCGTAGCGCACAGACAGGAAACTGCCTGTATTAGGTTCCAGTCTCCTACAATTTCTGTTTATTGTATTTAATTTTTTAGCTGCATTCCTGTCATATACAAAAATTATTGAGAGGAAAAGAAATGGTTTTAATTATTATTTAATTAAATTGTAGTTTAGGCCACCATTCCATTATGGCATCCTGCTGGAAAAGTATTGTTATACTTATATAACTTGTGTCATTACAGAAAGGAATCGCAACTGACGACGTAAAACATTCTGTCCCTCTCGCGCATGCTATCCGCAGTAAAGTACAAGAGAGACAAAATGTCTTGCGTCGACATTGCGATTTTAATGACATGAGTAATAGAAGAAATCAAATAGTGACTGCAACAGGGTTTCACGGTGGAGATAATTTCATGGGTTGGGTTATGGAATTAATGTTTATTAATTTAGCAATGTGAACCACCAGACATCTTCTCTTACATTGACAGTTTTACTGAAATGCAGTTGAGGTGGAATGACGTTCTTCAGGCCTTCACAAAAATAATGATTGTAATGAAATTTTCTTATCAACAGGGGGGCGTTAGGATAGTTCACTTCGTCGACTACGTATGGGTAGGCTCGTGGTGGCATTGCGTGGTCCACGTCGCGTTGTTATGCGGCGTGTTCGTGGTCCGCGGGCGGCCGTACTCGCCCGACGCGGTGGTGGGCGCGCTGTGCCCCGCGCGCGGACGATGCGCCGGCGCTGTGCCCGCGCTGCTCAGCTACACGTGGACCGTCACCCTGCCGGTGTTGTTGTGCGTGAGTACAGTACAGTACAGTACACAGCACTCTACGTACTCGCCCGACGCGGTGGTGGGCGCGCTGTGCCCCGCGCGCGGACGATGCGCCGGCGCTGTGCCCGCGCTGCTCAGCTACACGTGGACCGTCACCCTGCCGGTGTTGTTGTGCGTGAGTACAGTACAGTACAGTACACAGCACTCTACGTACTCGCCCGACGCGGTGGTGGGCGCGCTGTGCCCCGCGCGCGGACGATGCGCCGGCGCTGTGCCCGCGCTGCTCAGCTACAAGCTACACGTGGACCGTCACCCTGCCGGTGTTGTTGTGCGTGAGTACAGTACAGTACAGTACACAGCACTCTACGTACTCGCCCGACGCGGTGGTGGGCGCGCTGTGCCCCGCGCGCGGACGATGCGCCGGCGCTGTGCCCGCGCTGCTCAGCTACAAGCTACACGTGGACCGTCACCCTGCCGGTGTTGTTGTGCGTGAGTACAGTACAGTACAGTACACAGCACTCTACGTACTCGCCCGACGCGGTGGTGGGCGCGCTGTGCCCCGCGCGCGGACGATGCGCCGGCGCTGTGCCCGCGCTGCTCAGCTACACGTGGACCGTCACCCTGCCGGTGTTGTTGTGCGTGAGTACAGTACAGTACAGTACACAGCACTCTACGTACTCGCCCGACGCGGTGGTGGGCGCGCTGTGCCCCGCGCGCGGACGATGCGCCGGCGCTGTGCCCGCGCTGCTCAGCTACACGTGGACCGTCACCCTGCCGGTGTTGTTGTGCGTGAGTACAGTACAGTACAGTACACAGCACTCTACGTACTCGCCCGACGCGGTGGTGGGCGCGCTGTGCCCCGCGCGCGGACGATGCGCCGGCGCTGTGCCCGCGCTGCTCAGCTACACGTGGACCGTCACCCTGCCGGTGTTGTTGTGCGTGAGTATAATGCGATTCAACTAAGAATAGGACCGAATGGACGCCAAATTGTGACTGTACTAAGATTGAGAAAAAAAACAACCGATTTTTAATAATATTTATTTATTAAGACTGTGTGAGAAAAAACATTAATCAGAATCTAGCTCTTTTATTCCGCTCATCTCTACATTACCACCGGAGCAGTTATAAATAATCATGCACTATTACTAGATCACACACAAACATGCATGTAAACGAAAGTTTTAAATCGAGTTTATGAGCGCAACTTAAAGTGACATTTGGTTGACGATTTAGGTTATCAACCAATCATTGCCAAAACACAATAAATGAAAAAAAAGTCAAACAATATTAATTATTTATATTTGATATTGTTTGTTTACAAATGTTTAGTTTTTATTCTAGAATTAGCCGAGTGCTAAAAAGGGGTTCCAAGATTTTTTTGCAAACCGTACTTTTCAAGCGACATTTGACAGATGGAGGTAATTGGCTTTCCTATTCTTATTTGAATCGCTCTATACACACCGACTCTAGCCCCCTTGTTAACCTGGAGCGGTTCGAGTGGTCAAGAAGCTCCAAACGGAAAGAAGACTCCCACCGAGGGTAGAATCCCACAGGAACCAATATTTTCCGAAACTAAAAGTATCCTATGTCTCAATCCAAGTCGTAAACTATATGCGTACCATATTTCATCCAAATCCATTCAGTTCTATTTGCGTGATTGTGTAACAAACATTCGAACTTGCACATTTACAATATTTATATTATTATGCTTAGTATTTATTTATTATATAAGTATAGAGTATGTATTACGAACTAAAAATATATTTATAACGATTTGATATTAAATTACAAAAAATATAATAAATAATATAAAAATAATAAACAAATCCAAAAATAGGGATCGCAATTTTTATACAAGTGTAGTAACGCTATTAAACTGACTTTCAGGTTTTTGTCGCTCCCACTTCAGTATTAGTTAGGTATTCAATATTTATGGTGCTTATAAATATATCGTCTTAAACTCAACACTGTTGTTAACATGTGAGACATAATTTTGTAATAATATAAGTGCCAACACGTTGAGGTGTCAGATTTGTGTACTTGTCGTTAATTACAACTAAGGCTTCTTAGTAATGATCAGTTGTTTGCTATAGGTTACACCAGTAATTTATGAAATGTAATATTTCTTTTTGTTGTTGATTTGCAGACTATCTGCGTTATAGACTTTCGTGTTGGGCAGCAGCGACAATTATACAGCTGGAGAAAGCAAATTGGGTATGTGCTTCAAATTGTCTTAAATTATATCTTAGTTAAAGTCTTCTTAATATATAAAAAGTTTTTTTTTTATGTTAAAAAAGGTGGCAAACACACATTTGGCCTGGCTGATGTTAAGCCTATAAATGCTTGCGTGACAAAAAATATCACTCTCGCCGTTGCCTAACTGCCACAACGGCGGTTGAGGAAGTTAAACAATTTTCGCAATGACCTGTCTTAGGATGGGTGACCAAAAATTTATTAGCTCGAGTTCCTCCGTGCTCCGGATAGTACGTTTAGCCATTAGTCCCAGCTGCACCTGTAGTTGACAGCATCTAACAATCCGCATTGGGACCGCGTGGCAGGGCATAGCAATCTGTTTATTGCCATTAGTACAGTCAATCTGTCGAAAAAAATATCGTTTCAGTGAAAAAAAAACCTAAAGGGTAAGTCTTGTTTTTTCTGTTGCCAAATGACGTCAGTAAGCCACCTTGGCGATGGGCATGTTCAACTCGTAGGCGTTTTTTGAAAAACTCAAAAAAACCGTCAAAAATTTTTTGAAACGAATTTTTCTTGTTTTTTATGCATTTTAGAAACTTTTTTTTTGACCATAATTGTAGAGGGCGTTGAGTGCTACAATTTATGTCATTGTTGCAATCTCGTACAACAAAAAATGCGCATTGTAGGTAGCGCTAAAGTCTCAAAAAAGTGTTTTTTCACTTTTTCACCCTGAAAATATCATTTTAATGGAAAACTTTAAATGGCAAAGTTGTTTCGTACATAATTACCAACAACTTTTGTATAAACAATTTTTTTGTATTACGTACCGTTTTCAAGTTATAAATTGCGCAGGTATGAAAATTCCAATAGAGCGGTTTTGGGCAGTTCACGTACACATTTGCAGTGCACATTTCAATGTACGTTTTACTATATTTAATTTTTTTTCATGATTGAAAAACAAAAAAAAATAAAAAAAATAAAATAAAAAATAGTTTTATTTTTATTTTTTTCATGATTGAAAAAAAAATAGTAAAAACATACTTTGAAATGTGCACTGCAAATGTGTACTTGAACTGCCCAAAACCGCTCTATTGGATTTTTCATACCTGCGCAATTTATAACTTGAAAACGGTAAGTAATACAAAAAAATTGTTTATACAAAAGTTGTTGGTAATTATGTACGAAACAACTTTGCCATTTAAAGTTTTCCATTAAAATGATATTTTCAGGGTGAAAAAGTGAAAAAACACTTTTTGAGACTTTAGCGCCACCTACAATGCGCATTTTTTGTTGTACGAGATTGCAACAATGACATAAATTGTAGTACTCAACGCCCTCTACAATTATGGCCAAAAAAAAAAAGTTTCTAAAATGCATACAAAAAAAGAAAAATGCGTTTCAAAAAATTTTTGACGGTTTTTTTGAGTTTTTCAAAAAACGCCTACGAGTTGAACATGCCCATCGCCAAGGTGGCTTACTGACGTCATTTGGCAACAGAAAAAACAAGACTTACCCTTTAGGTTTTTTTTTCACCACTCAACCTACAGATTGACTGTACTACATCCATAGGGTCAACCTGTGCCCCAGCAGTGTGGACATTAATAGGCTAATAATGATATTGATGAAGTAGACAGAGGAGGCCGTTGGCGCTTTCGGTCTGCAGTTATAGAAGTTAAGCAATTTTCGCAATGGCCTTTCTTAAGATAGGTGACCAAAAATTTGTTAGCTCGAGTTCCTCCGTGCTTTGAATAGTACCTACGTTTAGCCATTAGTCCCTTTTGCACCTGCAGTATTCATCATCTCAAAAATTCATACTGGGTCCGCGTAGTAGGGAACATTTATATAGCCATACCAAACCATCAGGCTGGTTTAGTACACAGATTCATCATCAGCCTATTAATGTCCCTACTGCTTGGGGCACATATCTTCCCTATGGATGGAATAGGGAGATTGGGCCATGACCCACCACGCGCGCCCAGTGCGGATGACTTGCCAATGACTACTGATGCAGCCGGGACAACGGTTTACCGTGCCTTCCGAAGCACGGAGGAGCTAGTAAAATTTTGGTCACCCCATCCAATGACCGACCACTGCGAAAGTTGCTTAACTGCTACGATCGCAGCCGAACGCGCTAACCAATTGCGCTATCCGGCTCATGAAATCAGTGGTGCACAGATTGATGGTTGCTAAAGAAACGCGTCTTTTGTAGCACTGAAGAGCTCGTTACGAGTATTTTTTGTCAATCATAGTGGATGGAAACCGATCAATATTGCTTGCTTAAAGGTTTAAAAGTGACTTAATATTATTAAACAAACTAGGGATGCTCGATGATGTAGGAGGAGATGCTCTTTAGTTTTTATACATATTTTTTTCGGTCGGGGTGCAGTCAACTGTTAGTTTACTTTCGCAACTGCAAAGCTAATTTTGTGGGATATTGTGTTTACTGTAATAAAGGTAAGCCCGCTTAAATGTAAGCAGATTATGTTGAGTCTACAGACTTTTTCGATATAGGTAGCGGCAAACTTGTTGAGCAAAACCACAGAGAATTAAACTTGCGCAGTACGTTTTTGTGTGTAAAATTGTTCCTTGTGTATGGTCTTGCTCAAGAAGTTTATCGGGGTGTATACCAGAAGATAATTTAATTAATCTTTTTCTATCTCCTATTGTGTAGAACACTGGTGGAAAGCGTGTATTGTTTTAAATAAACAAATATAGTGTTAATTAAACTCATCACAACAATCAATCGTTTGTAAGGTGGAGGTAATTTCCCCATATGGGTGTTGCCTCACTTTCCATTTATCATTTCCCAAATGGTAAATTAGCTGATCAACAATGCCCTAATGATCACAAGTTACAGTGGCTATCAATATTCACAGATATTGGCCTGTTTGGGCACGTCAAGTGGCAGTGTTTATGCAACAGGGGGCGCTGCTGCTAATGCCCGTCGTAGCTTTCATACAAACTTGGCGATATATGAACAAGGGACCCAATGATATTTTAGAGGTATGTACGTTATCAGGACGAACGACGAATATTAACTGACATGCATTATTTAAGCAAATCTCTTCACTTTATTTTAAATATTTATCACAATAAAAATGTATCATTATTAAACTTCAAAAACATGATCGAAATTTTTACTTTTTAATGCTGCTACCAGGATTATGGTACGAGCAATTGTACCGAAGAGTTGGTAAGTTACATTTCTCTGAAATAAAAATATCCTATGTGTAAATCTTAATAGGTGTTAAACTGTATATATATGTATATATATATATATATATATATATATATATATATATATATATGCCAAGTTTCATCCAAATCCATTCAGCCGTTTAAGCGTAACAGAGAAGCAAACATGTATACAAATTTTCACATTATATATATTAGCTGTGTCCCGTGGTTTATTAGGGATATTTTCCCGCAGTAAAACGTAGCCTATGTGTTCAATTTTATTAAAATCGCTTCAGCCGTTTAGACTTCAAGAAGTAACAAACATACACATAATATTAGTGTGATTTGTAAGTATGAATATGGATTAGGATTGACCAATCACCATTTGTATTTATACTGTATGACACATTAATCAAAATGCAGGTAAACAATTAATGTATATTTAATCATTATGTAATGAAAGGTGACTTCATGAATCATTTCTGAAGTCATTTTTCAATTTGACGACTCTGTAAATAATAAAACAGGGAGAAAAAAATAGCCTTTGCTGAGTTTCTTGCCGGTTCTTCTCAGTATAAGGTCTCCCGCCGTAGACTTACTACCAACCGATGGCGTAGTTTATAGACATTCATGAGTGCTTGTAACAGCCTAAACTGAATAAATGATTTTGATTATGATTAATGCACGTTTGTCATCAGCGTGTCCAAAATCTATATCGTCCCCGGATGGGGCTCGAAAGCGAGGCCGCTCCGCCTTCTGTTCAGCCCGCTGCGACTCGAGCGCCGGCCGATCCCCCGCCCAAATACACGCCCCCGCCTTCTTATTCCACCGCCACTGGGGCTAGATTACTGAACACCATACGACGCAGCTATCGGACACTGAGGAGGTTAGTGTTATTCTTAATCCCACCAAAAACAAATGTAAAAAAAAGAGAGCCAAGTTCAATACAAAACTACAAATACAAATGATTCCCACATTTTATATTTATGCGTAGTTTAAGTCTTTGTCATAGGTTTTTTACACCCTATATAGCTGATTGTAACCTAACATTTGTACGATCACCGCCCAAATACACGCCCCTGCCTTATTCTTATTCCTTCACCACTGGGGCGCGATTACTGAAAACTATACGACCCAGCTATCGGATAATGAGGAGGTTAGTGTTATTCATAATAAAGCAGATTGTAACCTAACATTTGTACGATCCCCGCCCAAATACACGCCCCCGCTTTCTTATTCCACCATCACTGGACCTAGATTACTGAACACCATACGACGCAGCTATCAGACATTGAGGAGGTTAGTGTTATTCTTAATATAGCGGATTATAACTTAACATTTGTACCATCCTGAAGGTATGAGTTCCGCTTATTATGACTTACTTTTGTTGTTAAACAGGCAAAATTAATCAACAGGAATTGACTTAGCAAATGGGTTACCTACTAGGAAAAACAGTAGTTACGCGACATCAAAAAACGGGAATTAAGTAACTTGTAGTTTATTTTAAGGAAACAGTTCTTGATGTCTCTTCTTTGTTATAATCATTACCCCAATAATAGAAATGAGATTTTCTCCAAGAACACTGAACATGTTTCCTTTTTACAGGATAACCTCATCTGCTCGTGCTCAACCACAAACACAAACTGAGGACACATCACAAATACCCATCACACTGAGCGAGTCAGTAGACAGACACGTTGCTATAGAAACGCAACCGCCCGAATACAGCGGCGTATTCTCAACACCGTCCATAACTGTCACGGACGAAACTGCATCTAGGACTAGTCGAGCCAGGTCATCTAATTCACGGAATTCCCTATCATTGACTCGGGACTATCTTAGAAGGTCTTTTGTTAGGAAAAGCGACTCGGCAAAGAATATACGCTCCAGTTTGCGCAGGAGTTTCAAGTACGGCGCCGGTATTACGACTAGTCACGAACATTTGGTGCGAGAAGCGGAACCCATGTCTAATACTGTAGCCATGTCGGATATGTTGGATGTAGAGGATAATCGCAATGCTCGCAGCCTCGCCTCTGTGATATGAACCGCCTTTGAGGCATCATGGGGTCTAAAATACAGACATCGGATAAACGAAAATTAATTTCATTTATGAATTCTTCAATAAGACAATAATAGCGTTTCATCGGAGTAGAAATTTTACGCGTTCTAATACAAATAGCTCAAATTTGGACTTTTCATTTCCTATTAGGTTTATTTGATATTTCAATAATTATCTGGTCAATATTAAGATTTTTAAAGAATTAAAACACCATGCCCAATGTGTAAAACATGGAGTCTCGCTATTTTAGAACCCTTCTTATTTTCTTTTTTACATTACTAGATTTTAGTTTTAAGTACAAACAGCACAGGTCAAGTTATACGAATTTTGAGCCGACTTTGAGCTTTAACGTCCTTGAATTAAATAATCACAATTTAATGAGCTAATTTTAGACTTTGTAGTAACTTGATGTGTTGTTGAATTTACATTCTAGTTTTTTTTATGAAGTTATCTATATTTTTAATTATTTTCTTTTTCAAAATTAGCTGATGTATCAAAATTTTAAGACATATATATATGTGTTAGTGTTTAGGCCATGATTATCTGCACTTTTATTGAAGTTGTTTTAATCACTTTACCGTGTAAGTACTTAATAATTCGAAGGACAATAGTCGCATACATATGAATCTCAACCACTATTTTCTTAATATATTTTAAAGTCGAATTACCTTTTTTTAAGCACAATCGTGAGCCATCTAGGTAGATATATACAATGAAATATACTTAATTTAGAAATATTAGGAATACACATGAAATGTATACTTAAAGAAAAATGATAATAAATTGAGAGCTTAGCAAACGTGTTTAAGGTTTTTAATTATAGTTAAAGTTGTGAAGCCATTGTTATTCAGACTAGAAATGTGTTCCCATTAGATTAAGTCGAATGAAAGGATATTTTCAGAATGCGTCAACGAGTATGACTCTAAAAGCTTTGACTGAAGTGTGTTATTCAGATTTCTGTGTGCCCTAAAAATACTTATTTTGTATGATTTTGAATTTTATTGTAAATTCTAATAGCCTGATACATCAAACAGCCATTACCCAAAATATATTTTGTCATACATTGTAAAAAAGTAAGTTAAATTTTAACTGTTATTAGATATTACTTTTATTATTATACATTTAAAAAGTTCGTGTTCACACTAGGAGTAAAATTAAGAATCAATCAAGTAATGTCGACATGTTTTCGAATATTTTATTTTTTTCCTTTTACTCTCATACCGTGGTGCAACTAACAGTATTAATATTTCACCCACGTTTGACTGTACGTAATGTAATATCGTAATAACGACAATACACAATAAGTAATACAACGACAGTAGAAAATGTAAAAATGGTTGTTCTTTTTAGTTTAAGTAATTTTAACGGCGGCTATCTTAGTTCCTTACATGCATTTATAGATCATGAAAATTTATGTACCTATTTCGAAATTATATTTTAGTTCTAGTCACCACTGCACGTGCTTCAACACATTGATTTTCTTGAAACATCACAATTACTATTTATTTATGAAATTATGCACTTTTATTAACGCACGTCTATTTTATCCTTTTTTATTTTGCTTGTTCTATTTTACATTCCATATTGATTGCAATAAGTTATGAGAATTAAAACGTTTTTACTTCATCAATATTGATTTTTATTTTAATTCCTCAACCGCAAATAAAACTGATTCCAAATAGAAAACATTAATTTATTTAACTCGTCGAATACAAGTAATCAAAACTCATTTCATACTTAAAATTGCAGAAAGTGTTTACAATAATATGAGGCGCATAATATATCTCTTAGAAAGTGCTAAAACAAGGAAGCCGAGGTAATGAAATGTCTTAACGAAATATCGAGGCGAGAATATGTTAATAAAGTAAGACTTGTTAGATTGAAAAACAGAGAAAGGAACGCGGTACCACATTTTACGACCTCAACTTCTCTGCTTGTCGAAAAGCGTAAGTTGTTCAAAATTCAAATATAAACACCGCATGTCACAAAATGATCTAAGTACAACTTTAAAAAATCTCATGTCAATACAAGTTAGGAGGTAGGACGAACATAGAATAAATAAATGTAGTATGTAAATATTTTGATAGAACAAGACACTATACAATAAAAAGTTAAAGTCACAGTGATTTTAATAAAAAAAAAAGCTGAAAATTTAGATAAAAATATCTAACTAATTGTCATTCAACAACCATAACGGTTAAAGTAAACTAAATCCCTAAGTACCATAGATCACATCAGTCGTTTTGTCTAGCAGTATACTGTTTGTTACATAAATAATGCAAGTAATTATTCTTCCAGTCAAATGTTCTAAATAACTGAACTATTATCATACAAGAAGTTTGCAGTTCCCATGCAGACATTGTACATTTAACACATGATTACATTAAATACATGTATAATTAATCGAATTATCTAATTAAAGAATTGAGATTCAATAATGATTTCGCTGCTTTTGAATCGGTGGGTTCTTTCTTCTTGGCTGGGTCCAACATAAAGCATTTCCATAGACTGAAAAGAAAGATTTCTTTATTATTATTACAACATTGTTTGTAGCTTGGCAAATATAAATGTATTCCACTTTCCCGGGGAAATCCTCATTTTGTCTATCCCTTTGGTCCATTTTCTTACTTTTCCTTTTACCTTACCATCTACGAAATCTATTTTTTGTTTTAATTTTCAACGGAATTACTAACAGCAGTGTTACCAGAAAGCAATTTCGCCTTCCCCCCAAATTACAGGTTTTTGATGAAAAAACACCCCAATATGCAAAATATTTATTAAATAACAATATTTACTACATAGTATGTATTTTTGTAACAGTAATGGATTACTGGATCAATATCTTCGCACGCGTCGTCTTTCCCACTCATTTGTTATTATTCTTACATAACTTTGTTTTAATAATGCTTTTATTTTACCAAGGTGCAAACATTAAAAGGACCAACCAAATTGCGACTTAGCAAAGCAAAGGTGATAGATAATTTAAATCTAAAGAAAATATAACTAGACTTGACTGACCGAGCTACTGAGCGAGACGGAATAGACCGAAGAATACTTTTTTAAGTGGGCTTTGGACTTGGGGGTCCGAATCGGGCTCACAGAATGAACACAGTTCAGTGGCCCGATTCTGGCATGATTCTTAAAGCCTAATAAAATTAAAATTGACAAAAGTATTCTTGTCATGCTCTATACAGAATAAGAAAGAGAGACTGTTGATCGCGATTTCTACAGATTAAAAGTATATAAAGTGGTTTTATTTTTATATAAAAAATGTAATTAAAACGTACGTAATTAAAACACGTATATATTTAAATGAATTTTGGTAAGATAGTTTCGAGTCCCGGTATAAACCATAATGTAGTTTTTATCCCATATATCATCCTAAGGAATACAGATTACAGGGGGGTAACGGGGTGGAAGTTTGTACGGGAAACCAATTAAACCACACAGGCGAAGTCGTGGGGATCCACTAGTTTATAATATTAGTAAGGATACACACTGTATCGTCTCGTCAGCGTCCGCGGACAGTACAGTGGTGCCATCTGACAATAGTGCGAGTTGCAGCACTCTAACTATGCAGACAGTTCTTTTTTAACACACCAATTAGCTCAAAGAAAGCATTATAAGGCTTGTGTTATGGGATACTAGGGTAACGGATAGAATACATATACTGTACATATACAAGCAAATTTTTATAGAAATACATATTAAAACAACAACCGGTCTGGTAACACAGCTGATTGTTTAAACAACCATGACTGGAGTACAAATGCTCGTATTCATCACACAAACATCTACCCCCACCGGGACTCGAACCCGGGACCTCTTGAGTCGGCGACACCATGAAACCCGGCGTACAAACCACTCGGCCACGGAGGTCGTCATTGCATGCAGATGCATTACTCTAGCCACTCTTAAAACGCTTCAGTGGTTTAAGCTAGAAGATGTAACAGACACACTTTCGAGTTTACAATATTAATATTATTACCGTAATGTTTCATCAGCGCCTGCGGATAATACAGTGGTGCCATCTGGCGATAGGGCGAGGTGCAGCACTCTAGCCATGTGGCCGGTTAGTTCCGCCACTCGGGTCATTAGAGGATACTTCCATATTACTAGTTGATTGTTGGCGTATCCGTGCCCGGAGATCAACTCTTTGTAGTGAGTGCTCCATTGGATCGAGCACACCTGTGTGGGGAATTAACAATAATAATAAGTATATCTAATAATCACACCAATGGAGAAAAAAACACAAAGCTCATTACAAATGGCGCTTTGGCCGTTTGGACCTGTCAAATCAGGAGGAGCTCGATGGCGCAAGTGGTTAGCGCGTTCGGTTGCCATCGTTGAAGTTAAGCAACTTTCACAGTGGTCGGTCATTGGATGGGTGATCAAAAATTTACTATCTCGAGCTCCTCCGTGCTTCGGAAGGCACGTTAAGCCGTTGATCTCGACTGCATTTGCAGTCGTTAGCACCCACCAATCCGCACTGGGCCCGCGTGGTGGGTCATGACTAGTGTTGACAGGTCCGATTTGTTTTTAATCGGTGCATACAAATCTCCCTATTCCATCCATAGGGAAGGCCTGTGCCCCAGCAGTGGGGACATTAATAGGCTGATGATGATGTCACATCAAGGCTGCATTAAAAATCCAAGAAACTTAGGATAATTGTTGCACCTGGAGCATAGGATTGGAAGACAGCTCAAATCTATCGAAATTTGTTGGGTGTCCTTGTGACTTTGACAGCTGTCGCAATTTGTTATGGGCCATTCAACTCCCGCGCCTCTGGCGGAATATATTGGTAGTTTTCTTCCCTATTAGCAGAGCTCCAAAGTAAGTACTGCTTGCAGTACTTGTGTGTTATGCTCGCAGGATACTAAGATAGAAATATATATAACAATAATATATAGATCATATTTTTGTAGTAATACTTTTAGTTGGGTATTAGTAAAAGTAAAAGTGTTACGTATACGTAATTGGGTATTACGGATACGTAGAACCCAACTAAAAAGTATTAGTGGCGTGTTGGCCACCTGCCTTTGACATTAGATGACGTTTGATCAAACGTCATTGCATTAATTCTACACTTTAGTTCTTGTTCCGAGGTCACTCTCAATGCTACTTCACAGCCGCCATAAACGTAATTCGCTCCATATTAGGACGACGCCTCTCGGGCGTGGTTCAAAATCAGCGATATTAAAATAATAAAATAAATATTTCCAACACTCACACCAATTAGCCTAGCCACAAAGTAAGCACTGTAAGGCTTGTGTTATGGGATGCTAGGGTAACGGATAGAATATATATACTGTACATATATAAGTACCTACATTAATATAGAAATACATATTAAACATCCATGACTGGAGTACAAATGCTCGTATACACCATGAAACTCGGTCACGGAGGTCGTCAAATTGGCAAGAAAGTAAAGGACAATGTTAAAATTGGCCTAAGAACCAACACCAATTTGGCATTTATGATAATTCTTAGTATATTTTATGCGATAATTATCAGTATTTAGATTGTGACGGACACTTCCAGTTAAGTAAGCTTAATCAAAAAGTTAAAAAAATAATTTGAGACAATAAATACCATTTTATGTGTATAATCTATGGCAGCGCTGCAAACAAAACACTCTTTCTTCCTAATGCCGGCACTTCACTTGGCTATTTTAAAACATGACATCAGTCTGTCCTTTTCATTTCTTATTAAGCATGACAAGGACAAACTGTTGTCAAGTGAAGGGCCGGCATAAAACTTGTTACTCTGTGGTTGTGGTGCATGCAGTTTGCATTCGTAGTAATCTGATGCATTCGTGCATTCCAAAGAGTAGTTTATTATAGGTACCGGAAATGGGGATGTCGAAAGTTGAAAAAAAATATCGATATATCGATACATCGATATTTTAAAAATATCAATATCGGCTTCAATATATCGCGAAAAAAAACATCGATATATCGACATATCGGACCAATTTTCCCAAAAATATATTTAGGTCAGCCTAGCACAGTAATAATAACAATATAAATTATAATTAAAGAAAGAATTAACAAAGTACCAAATTGCCGCTACACTACATGACAGTACCTCACGAAAAAGACACGCGGAATAATAATGGAACGAAAATGATCTCCCTAAAAATAGACCCTATTTTTTAATGATGAAAATGATTGCAGGGTCTCTAAGATGCCATCTTTCGTAAACAAGACTTGACAGTCACACACTTCCACAGAATATAATGAAGTTCAGCACAACCAATTCACCAGCGAAACAGATTTACAAATCATAGACAATACTAAATACAGCACAGATCATAGAAATGTTGAATATCGTTAATCTGAGATCCAGTTACGATTTTTCCAGATACGAATTTAGTTATATCGTGATATGCCGCTAATAATTAAAAAAAAATCGTTTTTGATACGAATTTCGATATTGGTTATTTTGTATCGATGTATCGATATATCGAATCAAAATATATCGGCTAAAAATATCGATATATCGAACAAAAAATATCGATATATCGATATAATTTCAACAAGCCTAACCGGAAAGTGCATTCTCGTTTCGGATTACCTGTTGTGTGTGTTTATTTGCGATTGTTTTGCTTTTAATTTAACTATTTCGGCTATCTAATATGCCATCGATGTTACCAAAGAGCAGAGCCCTTATTACCAAGTGCTAGTGAACCTGTGCCACAACATCCTGAGAGGATCATACTGCCAAATTATTCAGGAACACCTGATACACATTCACGCTGCATATTTACATAATATACATGTGATATACAAATAAATACAATAAACAATATGATACAATTATGTGAAAAATAGTCAATAAATAAGAAGCAAAACTACAGTTTTTATTTTATTCATGATTCCTACCTAACCAAGTTTTTCCTAATAGTTATTCTTAAAATCGCACCGAATAAAATGAATTAGTTGTAATATTAATTCACTTCATACTGAGTTCATACTAAATTCATAGGTTGACTATGTTTCATTGAATATTAAACATAACCTCAAAAAAAAATTAGTTTTCCTAATAATTTAAGTTCCCAGAAGTGTCCGTCAATAATCTTACAGTCATTTACTTACGACTTTGAACCTAGAAAATAATATTTCTTGATTGTTGGTTCTTAGGCTAGTTAGCCTAAGAACCAACAATCAAGAAGCGTCCATACATAGTTATGTATGGACGCTGAACAATGTCCTTTGATCTGCTTGAATCGCACGTACATACCTGTGATTTAGTATCAACTGTGTTTAAATTTGCGCCAGTGTTGATATTCCATATGCGGATAGTTCTGTCAGCCGTTCCCCCGCCTGAGGCCAATATGCCGGCACTCCATGGACACCAGGCGAGACCTTTGACCGCGGCCAAATGTTGACTGCGCAAACATAAATAATTAAAGTATTTTTTATTTATCTACTATATAAAAATAAGTCGGGTTTTCCTTCCTGACGCTATAACTCCAGAACGCAAGAACCGATTTCCACGGTTTTGCATTCGTTGGAAAGGTCTCGGGCTCCGTGAGGTTTATAGCAAAGAAAATTCAGGAAAAATTAAAAAAAAAATCTCCTTTTAATCACCAAACGAAATGTTACATAAAACGAAGCCATCTGGTGGCGAAACGGAGTTCGCCGGGTTTGCTAGTTGTATATAAAATAGGGTAGCGGCAAGGTGATGGACTGTATTTATTGATTTTTGTATTGACTAAATTTAAGTTTTTATTTTTTAATAATAATAAGTTATTTATTTTCACTCAAAATTACAATTTTTCCCTCGAAACAATCAGTGGATGCATTCATTGATTTTCTAATATTAAAAGGAAATTGTTGACAGCTGTAATAGTAAAAACTGTGACACAGCTGCTAGCGCTCCTACCCAAAGACAATTTTACCTAATTTATATATATAAGTTGGCGCCTGTGTTCATATTCCATACGCCCGATACGCCAATATGCCCGCACTCCATGGACACCAGGCGAGACCTTTGAATGCGGTCAAGTATTAACTGCGTAAACATAAATAATCATAGTATTTTTCCTATTGACGAAAAAAATTTATCTGGAGTTTCTCCGTGTTTCAAAAGGCACGTTAAAACGCTGGTCTCGGCTGCATCTGCAGTCGTTAACACTTACCAATCCGCACTATGTCAGCTTGGTGGGTAAAGGAGCAATTTCCCTATTCCATCCATTAAAGCTTGTGCCCCAGCAGTGGGGATATTAATAGGCTGATGATGATGTTAATGCAATATCTTTTTAAGCAACTGCTTGCCAGTTAAATAATAATTGTTGTTTGGCGGAGTCTGATATTACAATATTTATAAGGGAGGTTTCCAGAACATTTTTCTTAAACAAATTCTGAAAATTCATTATTTGTACCTACCTAACTAACTTATCGAATAATTACGAACCATCTTAGAACCATACACTAAACCATAGGTCTAATCGTCATCGTTAAATTTTTTGTTTGGAAAAAGCTAGTTTGATCTGACGTCCTACTGAGCTGTTTAGTTCTTATAGAAACTTTGAAAATGTGATACATTACGGAGCTTTTAAAAATTCGTGCTTGGACATAGCATACCAAGCCACTATGATTTTTTACGATTTTAAATGTGACTTAAAACCTGATGAGTCATTTGATCGATTTCGAACTGCTTTTATGGATGAAGGACCATCAAAAGCAACCATCTACCGCTGGTGTAGCGAGTTCAAACGCGGTCGTCTTACTTTGGGGGATGAATTAAAGAGTGGTCATCCTACCTGTCATCGAAGAAAGTGTGCTGGCAGTAAAAAATTTAATTCAAGAAAACAGACGAATTATTATGAAGAGATTCAACATACTCTGCATATTGGTTCAGGAAGTGTTCACACGATTTTACACGAGCACCTTTGCTTAAAGAGGATAGTATCCCGCTGGGTGCCGCACAACCTCACCGAAGCTCAGAAGCATGCCCGTGTGGATGCATGATGGATGGTGCAGTGATATGATACAAAAATTTGATGCAGGCTCGTCACGGCGGGTTTACGATATTGAATCCTGGATTTCAAAATACGATCCAGAAACAAAGCGTCAGTCGACAGTTTGGTTGTTTTAAAATGAACCAGCGCCTACAAAAGTGAAGCGATCGAGGAGCGCAGGAAAAATGTGATCGCTAGTCACTTTGACCTAATTTCAATTCCACTTCGAGACCAAAGCAGCATCAACGCCGAATGGTATAGCACAAAATGCCTGCCAGAGGTTTTTTCTGCAATGAGCAACAAGCGACCCAACACCGGGCTCCGCGGGGTCCTTCTTCAACACGAGAATGCGCCCGCGTACACTCTGCGATTAAAACGAAGGACTTCCTGGACTCCATACCAGTCAGTCTTGGGACACCCTCCTTACAGTCCTGATTTGGTTCCGTGTGACTTCTTTTTATTCCATAAAATAAAAAAATTGTTCAAAGGGATACAGTTTTCATCGCCGGAAGAAGTGCTAGCAGCGTTTGAGAAGAATAGGTGTCTGCGGAGGACTGGAAAAAATTATTTGAAAATTGGTTCAGACGCTTTGTATAGAGGCTGGTGGAGAGTTCTTTGCAAAGATTTAATAAAAATATTTTTTTCACAGAAGTTAGTTTTTTAGTTTCTAAAAACTTACTGAGTGTCCCACATAGCATATCTGAGAAACACTGAAATTCAGAAGTAATAAAGAAAAAAATTCTTGGTTCTTACTTGAAAGAATATAAATACTGCGGTTGAGAATAGTGCTGCCCTTGCTCGATCGGCCAGATGTTCAGGAGGTTGTCGTTGCCACCAGACGCTAGGTGTCGTCCATCCGGTGACCATTTCAAACCACAAATCTAGACCAAATAAATGAAATTATTTTATTTATAAAGTTAAACAGCCAAAGACCAGAAAAAATGTACACAGCTGGATCATATAAGTAAACCTAAGTTACCAAAAAGAAAACATAAATGAAGGAACAAACAATGATGACATAGTCTTCAATGCTAGGTGATGAAATAAAGCGGGCGAAAGGAATGAAAACTATTTTATTTATAATACATTGAATTGATTTTAACCAAATTGGTAAATATGAGTAGGTACAATTTAATTGTTTCTAATAAAGGGATGTAAAACTCACAAAACCTTTTTTTTCGATAAACCTTTCAGTCAGCTTGGTAGTTACATATATATGAATTAAATTACTTTATAAAAAAAAACATCTGAAACCCACTTTTGTTGACAAAAATGGTCACATAACTAGTTGAACTTCTTTTACAGATGCATACAAAGGTGGTTTTCCCATTACAGAGCATAATGCGACTCAGTGGCGCACAATGCCGAATTATGCTGATGCTTAATTGGAACGTGAATTAGTTTTCAAATGAACCAGCAGAGTGTGCTAAGTTCAGTGTTGAAAAAAAAGTCAATGTTTGTACCTTCATCCATATTTATATTTAATTTTTTAACTCAGTTAGAATTAACTTTGATTATTTAAAAAAAACTATAATGAAACTGAAGTTTTAATAATTTTTCAACAATAAATAATATTACTAACGATAACATATAAATAAAACATTTCGATCAATACCAAGTTAAAGAAAAAAACACTTGTTAACATGAGCATAAGCATCACACGAAAGCATTACTTTTGAGAGTGCTCGATTGTGCGAAGCGTTGCTGTAGTTGAAACACTCAACGTTAAGCATAATGCGCTTTAATGCTGTAATTGGAAAGCTACCAAATATAGCTATTTATTGGGTACGACAAATCAATAAATAAAATATTGGAATTTCATATTTATTTCATATTAAATATGAATTAAATCGTAATTTGTAGTTACGTGGTAGGGAGGCCGATCTGATGGGGGAGTAGTCTTTTTCTGCAAGATATCTTTATGAAGTGAGAAATAATAAGAAGCAGCTCTCGCGGGATGTCCTTGACTAGGAGACGTCCTATCGAAGCTATACTTATGTGCATTTGAGTGTATATCGCACGTCGTGGGGCACGATGTTCCCGTCGCCACATCCCCTTATAGTTACCTCCTGCGAGTGCGCAGTAATAGTGCCGACGGCGTGCTGTCTCTGTCGCACGTCGTGGTGCACGATGTTCCCATCGCGTGCGCCGCTCGACACAATGTGCAAGTTCCACGCGAGCGAGCCCACGCGACCCGTGTGGCCGTCCATTACCTGAACGACAAATTGAGCCTTTTAAACATTTCACTTTTTGGTGGAATCTTTGATTTTAGGGCGTTGGTCTTGGCTTGATTTCCACCATTCGAGGGCCGGAGATGGCCACTCGGGCCGCAGTTTGCCCTGTGCTAAACCATGCCGGTAACGAGCCGCGCCTCGGCTACAGTTAGCACGGTTATTTCTGAACGCTATCCGTTGACTTGGTTACCACCGGTATTACGTGCGCTGACAAACATGTCAGGTACAAGCTAAGGCCCATGCTCAGTTCAGGCCTAGTGTCTAACGTTAGTCATCTCCAGAATAAGTCTACGTATAACATGGATCAATGCTTGAAAACACGATTTCAAACATACTGAAATAATCTTGTCTGTATAAGATTTTATGGCAATACTCAAAGAAGTCGATTAACTTTTAAGTTTAACATGTATTTTGTCAATATAGTGTTAATATTAATCTAATCAATCATATTAATTTCCTACCCTCAACCTCTTAATTTTCTCACAGTCCCAGAGTTCCACTGTGGCTGAAGAGGTCCCCACGGCCAAATGCGAGCCGCCTCCTTGCACCCACTGCACGGAACAAACTGTCTCTGAACCCTCCAATGTGAGCAATTGTTCTATTTGGCCAGTGCCCGCATTCCATAAGTAAACCGAGCTGCCCAAAGCTACAGCCAAGATGTTGGATGCACTCCAGTCTACTAAGTTCAGGTCTGTTGAGAAAAAAGATGATGAAAAATATGTACTATATTCGTTGAATTTAAATGAATAATTATAATCAAAATCATTTATTTAGTTTAGGCTGTTATAAGCACTCATGAATGTCTAGAAGCTACGCCATCGGTTCGTAAATCTACTGCAGCATATAAAGATAATTATCATGACCAATGACTTTTTAATTCCTTAGTAATTTTATAAATTGTAATGTGGAAACTATAGTATTCCAAAAACATGATAAATAATAATAATGTAATATGCAATAAGACAATGAGCTTAATGGCGTAGGTGGTTAGCGTGTTCGGCCTGCAATCATGGAAGTTTAGCAAATTTCGAAATGGTCTATGGATGGGTGACCAAAAATTTATTATCTCGAACTCCTCTGTGCTTCGAAAAGCATGTTAAGCTGTTGATCCAGGCTGCATCTGCATTTGTTAGTACCCACCAATCCGTACTGGGCCCATCAATTTATATGGAAGGCATGTGCCCCAGCAATGGAGACATTAATTTGCTATGATGATTAAATAAGGCAGCCACATTTGTCTGTGATATAGTCTTGATTTGCTGTGCCAAGCTTAGGGTATCATGGGATTAATAAACCCTGTCACAAGGAGTCTCTAAATAAAACAAAAAAACAACATGAGCCAATACTGGCAAATAGACATAACTTACAATAGTCATCTAAAATGTCGGGTGCATCTAAAATCCTGTCTGGAGCTTGTGGAATGTACCGTGTGGTATTTTTCACTGATGATGGAACTTTTGCCTGAAAAGAATGTTTTAATTATTACAAAATTTATATTATTTTGTTGGTACTTGTCTTTTAATATATTTATGGGATGTTATTACTGCTTCCAAAGCTTAGCTTTGTTAGAGAATGGTTGATTTCTAAATTGGTAAAATGGTGAATATATCAAAGCTTAAAGATGGAAATGGTAGTTAATGGGGTAATTATCAATATTATATATTGTGGTGAGTGAGGAAAAGAAACCCAATGAAGATATGACAGGAAAATAGTGAGCAAAGCTTATAGCCCAAGTACCTGTGAATACACAACCCTAAGTCTGTTTTGATAGCCCTCAGGTGCAGCGGGTGCCTTGCAAGTGTACTGCAGTAGTCGTCCAGGTTCTGTATCAGTGAGAGCTCTGCCGATCGCTTCACCGGCTGCTGTTTGGGCCACTACATCTTCACCTTTGTCATCATCTCGGCTCATCTATTAAATAAAGATTTTATTGTACTATATCTGGTGCATGAAGATACAGAAAGTAATGTATAATCATACACAAAATAGACATTAAATATACAGTAAAAGCTCCTTATTCAAATTTTCACCATTCACAGATAAAAAAATGAAACTAAATTCCTATATTAACAGCAAACATTTTGTTATTCGCGGATCTATTCACAATAAAAATGATTTGTTAAAGCATTAGCAGATGGAGTAATTACAAAATAGAGACAAATATTATTATAACTCAGTCTACACTATAGATGATCTTATATAAATTATACCACTCCTTATTCATGGTTTCTGTTTTCGTGGCATATTTCAGGAATGTATACCCCGCAAATAAGCTTTTACTGTACTTTTATTTGTAATTAAACTCAGTCAACGTCTCTCAAATTTCTTACCATGTAATGACACAAGTCATAATTAGAATTGCTTCGAGATGGAATAAATCTATCTGCTTTATTTGGAGTTTTTGAAGCTTTGTTAGGGGTGGGTGTAGTTGATCGACCTGCAAAAAGAACATTACATATTTTTGAAGTAACAACTGTTGAATTTTTGATATTCAAATCACAATTCAAAATATTTACAACATCATTTGCCAAGCTCAGCATTATTGAGTCTATATTTGTAAAGATTTTTAATAGATGTGAAAGCTTAGTACAGGCTTATTTACTAAAAGGAATTATTTACCTGGACTCTTATTTTTGGAAGGAGATTTCTTTCCCTTTTTCTCATTTCTGGTAGGAGTTTTAAAACCGATATTGTTACTAGATAAAACGCTATTATTACAACTTTGATTCGCCGAAATAGATAACTTCTGCATAGATTGGTTACATGTACTGATGTTCACGTTAGACATGTTTTTGAAAGAGGTACTCATCGATGGATTGTGGTTCTCATTATTTGTCTTTTTCACCCAGCGCTGCAGCGGACCACGGGTGATAGGTCCATCCAAAGTGGCCAAACTCTTCAATTCATTTAGGTAGTTGAACTGTGCCATTTTCCACCAGTTACCGAAAAATATATATCACGTAATTAGTTTTTCGTTATTTATTTGTCTTTTGGTTATGGCACGCCTATGAGAAAATAAACTTCGGTCATGGATAGGATATCACATGGAAATACGAAATATTAACAAAATGCAAATCCAGCAGCAGCTGCAAATTGACAATAGGTTGAGTGAAAACCGTTGGTCGAGTTTTTGAATTTAGGTATACCAGCTACCCTATTTTATTTACCCAAATAGATGTTGAAAACGAATACAGTAAACGAGTATATACAAATAGATCTGAATTTTACTTATTATTAGATTATGGAAGATGTATTTTGGAAAACCCTATTACTAATTGATATTTTAAATAAACGTTATGTAGTTCCTGATACTGAAGGGTGTCGATTCTGGCATGATTCTCTAAACCTAAAACTAGACATCAGTCACGTCTTTTCACTCCGTGTAAAGAATGACAAGGATACATTGTTTTTTTAGGTTTAGTATTAGAGAATCATGCCAGAATCGACACAGCTTTATGATATTGCCAAACATTAGAGAATTATGAAATAAGTACATCATACAGATTGTTCGTCGCTTCAGTGCTCACTTTTGCTATCGACCAAATTGCCGAAAAATAAATTTTACATGTCTAGCAAACCGCACTGCATCCGCCATTCCCCAAAGGGCCTCTCGTGGTACATTACCAGCACGTTACCCAAGGGCGTGCCCAGGATTTCAGCTAGGAGGGGGCAGCTCATACCTGTTTCGAGAAGATAGTCGGTCGGGTATATTGAAACAAAAATTCATGAAAATTGACTTTTATTAATTAGTTTGATTATGACACAAAACAAAATATTAAGTAAATATATATAATAATCATAATACACATATATTAATTTAAAAGTAATCTTCTCGGATTGGCCGCCGAAAATTTGTCTAAGACAGTCTTTTGAATAAACTCACTGTTTTCTTTTAAATAATTGCGATGTACGCTCAACAGACATAAACCCGTAAGCCTTTCTTCACCCATGGTGCTTCTAAGCCACGTTTTAACTCTTCGAAACGTACTGAAGGACCGTTCTACGGTCGCCGTGGTGCATGGGATAGTGCTTAAAATAATCAATGCCTTTCTGACAGCAGGGTAAAAATATTGGCTTCGTTCAACAGATCAACTTCTTCTATATCCCTTAATTGATCATCTGATAAAGCATTCTTCATCCATAAATTATGCCAAAGGTTCAGTTCTCTAGTGATATCCAGGTTATAAAATTCTTGGAATGATTCTGCGTTCTTGTGTAAGTCTGTAATGCTGGTTTTGGTCATTCACAAGGGATGTAGCTTACTTAAAGCAAACGCAGGAGTATTTTCTTGGGAGAATCGAATATTCAACGATCAAATGAGTGAATCAATGTATGGTATTATCAGAGAACGCCGCCAATATTCGTTATCATTGTCAGATGGCGTATTACTTCTATGTGTTTGCTTATGAGCAAGACGTGGAACCGAAATTTCTATGTTCAAATCCATTGCAACAGCTCGCGCTTTATGAAGCATTTCATTACTTATTTTATCAGGAAACTCGCGGTCATTTCTGAGAATGTCCTTGATATTTTTGATGTGTTCCCCCACCGAGATAATGTCGATCGATTTAGCTTGTAGTGCGTTAACTACTGGTTCTAAAACTGCTGAATATTTGGCTATTGTTTGTAGAGCAACAATAAACACTGGTTTTGTAACGGCAGAATGCAACTGATATGCAGATTTTCTGGTGGCATAATTTCCCTCTACGAATAACGTTTCTAGAGATTTCCCAAGCTCTGGAAAATGTTGAGAAAACTTTCTGATTGATTTATATTTTTCGGACCATCTCGTCTCACACACTCGTGATAGGTTTGGAGCGTAGTTTCGACGAGTAGTCGATTCTCTGAAAAACGTTATAACATCCTTAACAGTGGCGACAGTATTTCTAATTTCTGGCACTGGTATTTAGTATTTCTAATTCACAACAAGGTTGAGTTTGTGACTTGAGCAATGAAAATATAAAGCACGAGGATATTTTTTTCTCAAAATGGCTTGTACGCCACCCTCTTTCCCTGCCATTGTAGAACAGCCATCGAATCCAAACCCTACGCAATCTTCTGTTGGGAGGTTAGAACTAATATCTCTAACTAGTCTGTGGAACTAATCAAGAAATTGTCAATTGCTTCGGCAATTGCTGAAGCATTTTGTGCTTTTAGTTCAACGAATCCTACAAATTCTTCTCTAATTTTCCTTTTGCTTTCGTCGTAGAACCGCGCGCCTATTGATAACTGTTCTTTCCCAGCTACGTCTGCTGTTTCATCAGCTAAGACTGCGTAAGCGATGGTCTTCTGAACCTCACTTATTATATTCTCCATAATAACTTCGCCACATAAATTAATCAATTCGTTTTGTATTTTTGGCGATGTGTAAACTGCATTGCGACGGCACTTTTCCAGGTGACTCTTTAATTTGTCATCCCCTGAATTGATTCTCAACTATAATAAATCTAATAAAACGCCCTCATCTGCTTGTTTTCCCCTAAGAGGCATATCATGTGTACCGCAAAATACTACACAAGAAATAATTGATGACAATATTTGTCTGTTTTCATCGATTACTGAGTAGCCAACCCAACATAACGACCCAGATCATTTTCATGATAGCCATCGTCCACTATAATTTCAGGATCGACGTTGACGTCATAAGTTTGCTGGGATGTCGATGGAGAAGAATAATCGGCAACAGATATATTTACAGGTTCTGCTGGAGAATGTGACGTTTGTCCAATGTTAGCATGCAATGATCTTGGCATTACATGGGTTTTATCATGGTTGTCATTTTCATCGCTTCCTCCACTGCTACTATCCCGATCTTTTTTTCTTTTTTCCCGTGTTGTCCCTAAAAAAAGGATACACAAACATAATTACTCTTACCGTGTTTAGGCATAGAACGAAAAAAAAAATTAAGTACCACGTTTTTAAAGCGGACTTAACAGTATAAAATAATATTGTCTAATGCCGTATAAATTGATCTAAAAAAACAGCTTTTTAGTCATAAAAAATGAGTATTTTTTTTAAACTTTCAAACAAACAAACAATTTGCTTGTTTGTTGAACAAACAGACAGACAAGAAATCAATCTAATATTGTATTGTCATCCACTTCTAACCTACAGTCAAAATTTCAAGTCTCTAGCTCATCGGGAAGTTAGTTTAAAATCAATTGAAAGATTTGTACCGAACAGACAAATAGACAAGAAATCAATCTAATATTGTATTGTCATCCACTTCTAACCTACAGTCAAAATTTCAAGTCTCTAGCTCATCGGGAAGTTAGTTTAAAATCAATTGCCAGATTTGTACCGAACAGACAAACAGACAAGAAACGGACCTAATAAAAACGTGGTAATAAATAAAGATTACGATACCTATAAAAACATCACATTCAAATATCAATTACTTCCTATACACTTACAAGAGAGCCCCCTTAAACAAATCAAATAATCATATTAGGTACATACATATGTGTTTTGTTTTGACTCACCTTTTTCAAAGAAATTCCTGGTATCCATTTGATGGAGTAAATCTTTCTAGTTGTTACGCAGTAAACGTAAATCTCTTGTCGCCGCAACTAAACTATAAGACACTATTATGGCGCATTAAATATTCGCTCGTATTAAACACCGAACTAAATTGAACTGTATTCGAAATTTCGAACTGAATTGCCTTGCTCTGCTTTTTTTTTTATTTCCTCCCAGGCGGGGGAGAGGGTGAGAAATCCTCATGGATACCTTACAGCCGGCTGTAGGGTTATGTCAGACTCTTACTGACTAAAAAACACCCTTTAATCATGCTTATGGCCAGAAGAGCCTTACAAGCTTCATCTGAAGCGATCATCCCCCGAGAGGGGGATGATGGCCTTGCTCTGCCTCACGATCGCGCTTATCCATTCAAATATTCTCGCTCCCGAAATACGTAGAAAATACTCGACTCTGTTGCCATTCTTGTCTCATACTTGCTATCACTGTCTTTACTTTCCAGAATAGTTCATGCTAGAACGTTCTTCTTTACTGGAAAAAGCACTGTCGAGTGTTTCGTCCGTAACAAGATAGCGCTAGCGCTAGACGTTGTTTTCTCCAAATTATATTCGGCTTTAATCCTAGATGGCTCTGATTATCTCGTCAGGAGCGGAAACTACGAGATACGACGGTTTCGCGGGAGATATAAATTATATTGCGTCGCTATTATATCGAATGTTGTACAATATTTAATTAAAGATAAAAAAAATTAAATCAAAATATCTGACTGAAAAGATGTTTTGTTTCCAACACTTCATTTTGCGCAGAGTAGGTAACACGTTTTTAATTCCCACTTGCCAGGAAAATTGACGTTTATTTTATCTTCTAGGGGGGGGGGGGGAGCTGCCCCTACCTGGGTACGCCCATGACGTTACCGTTGCTAACCGCCTTGCGCGCACCAATGAGTTTACACCTATAGGGAGTGATTACTATCGATCCGAGTGAGAGGTTCAACCTGTGGGAGTTGGTCTCGTTCTACATAGGATGACCAATTATACGTCTAATTCAGAGATTGTCCTATTATCAATAATTGAAATTTTGGGTGAATGGATGTAGATATGCACCCTTAGATTAAAGAAAACAAGATTGTTCTTCAATGCAACCTGAGCTGATTTGAATGAAGTTTATGTAAGTCTGAAGTTAGAATAAGTATTCCGGATTTTTACATAACATAATTTAATCGATATCAATGGACAAACTCACACAAATCCAACTAATCCCAAGTAAGATGAAATAAGGCTCGTGTCACAGGAATTAGTTGGCAAAATAAATAAAATGAGAGGGGATAGGGATTTTGCTGCGCGACCGAACTGAAATATATTACATATATAATACAGAGAGAACAACCATGTCTTAGGAACAAATATTGATGCACCTGGCACACTTACGGCATTAAGTCCAGTAATTGTACACTATTTTGTGCAATAAATAAATATATTTCGGTGTTTATCGAATAATTAGGTTGCAGGTAATAATTAATATGAATATAACAGAATATAGTTTAATACTACATTTATACATAGTTTATTTATTATAAAATTTTACAATTTATTAAAAAAATATGAGAGATC